AGTGATCCGAATACTCCCATCTGTAATACCGACCAAGAAACATGTGTACCAAGTTTGATAAAGATATCTAAATTTTTAATCAAGATACAAACAACTGTTAGTTGAACAAAACTATTATACTCCGTAGCAACATGTTGCGACAGTATATTGAGTGAAAATGAGGCGTCCCCTGTAACGCAGTAAAGTCGAAGTCAAGAGAAGATACGTTTAGTGTTGATTCGGAGATTATATTTTACGTGTTTAAATTTACAATTTCGCGGAAAACGTATTTGCATGCTCCACAATGATAACAACAATTTTAAACTAATTTCATAGGGAGAGATGAGGTAGCGATCCCCAGTACTTCCACTGGTTTCAGAAGATTAAGAGGGAAAACAGCTCAATATTATTATGATTACAGAGCACGAAAGCGAGCAGAGATGGAAAGTTATCAAATACGGTAACTAGTAACCTGTGTACAAGTTCTGAGATTTAATGTTAATTCTTGTAGAAGTAACCTTTCAAAAGCAAAGCCCTTTGCGAAATTTGCATATTAGATAAACAAGTATTCGACTTTATTAAAAAAGACATTTCGATAGTATTTAATTGTCAAAGTCTTCGTGCACACGCCAATGATTTTACCGATCGAGTCTTCCGAATACGAATATTTTGATGTTATCAGGAAGCTTTAGAAGCGATGAAGAACCTCCTGTACAAGTACCAAGTTTTGAATTTGTTGTGAGATTTTAATATAATGAAATTCAGGTGTTGCCATCTATCGTAATGTATGTCGAAAAAAAATAAAAATTTGTATTTTTGACATATTGAAGTTTCACTTTTTCCACGCGGAGGGACTACACGCACCCTGTTTTAATTTTTGTTGTAATTTAAGTAGAGGTCAAGCATGAAAATAGTAAAACTAGTTAACAATGTAAAAAAAAGTGGTCTAAAACTTGGTAACATTGAAGAAAGCGGTTTTCGAATACTCTCTTGTATCGAATTCAACGCGCTAATTTTGGTGTTGCTTTTTCATGTAAATATTTTGACATGAGAGCAGGAATGAGCAATGTTATCGAGCAAAGAAATAGAGAGTATTAGCTAATGACAGGTATTTGAATTGTCGGCCTTACTGGCTAAATTATATATACAATAATATAAAATTTCTAATATTTTAAAAATTGGATCATCTTGAAAATGTGTCCTATTTTTTTTCTGCCTGCCCTTTTGAAAACTAAATGTAAAAGTATATCTGTTGGCACCCGCTGGAAGTTGGTATTGCCACACTTATAAAACTCACTAATCGAAAACTCATTTGAACATACGATAATCAAATATCTGCTGCACTTCCTACGGGAAAGAGCTTCTCAGAAAACCATTCAGGTTTTTGAAGTCGGCCCATCATTTCTCAGAACAGAGGAAAATGTTCTGTCAAGCTTATAAGAAATATGTAGGTGCCAAAAAAACAGAAGGGAAGGTCAAAGTTCGGAAGTAACCGAACAGCTAAGAGAATTATTGACTCAATTTTACCCATTTCTGGCACAAAGGCATGCTGTTATCACAAAAATATTTTCCCGAATTTTAATACTAGAACTCATAGACTAACTGATAGGTTTGGTAAAAAATCAGCCATCATTTAGTGTTTGGGTCCTTGAAAAGTTATAGTCCGATTTCGACAATTTTTGAGCGTTAGATTAAATACTTTGTGTCCTCAAAGATGTACAAAGTTTGGCCCGAGTTCGCCCATTTTTACAGTGAATGATAGAAATGGATGGGCAACCTCACCTGACCAAATTTGGTTGAAGTGGTCCAGTTGTCAATGAAATTTAGGATTTCATCTAAAAATGGGTGGTGCCACGTCCATTGTCTAATTTTTATACCGGTTGCCGTAAAGCCCTGCTCTGCCATTTTGGCTGTGAAATTTAATGTTTGTGGCTCTTCTATTCAGTAAGTTATCGCATTAATTTTCCACATACTCGTAATTGGTTGGTGATTATTATTTGATTTCTTCCATTTTCACAATGTATAAAGTAATGCACAAAAGACTTCTTCTCGACAAGTTTGGTTGAGATAGCTTCAGTGGCTTCTTAGATATGTACATTTAACCATTTAGAACAAAACTATTATACTCCGTGCAACATGTTGCGAGAGTATAAAAATAAATTTAAATTGTATCAACGTTCAATATTTGATCAAAAATGATAATCTCGCTAGGCGGCGCTGGCTTATAAAAATTTTAATAATAGCCTGAGATTATTTGTGTTATAGTTTGGGTGCTAAAAATTCTTAAATTTATAAATTTAGAAAAAATGTTAGGTTTATTATTTGAAAAACATTGCAACTTATTAAAATATCGGTCAATTAACGCTCAGAGGAAATGAAACACAAAGTCGTTATGAAAAGACCACGAAGAGCAAAAACAAGTACAATAAATGCTAAAATGTCGCAGAGCTTCGAATATATTGTTATTTGCCTTAAAACTTCGATTGAAAGGGCTAGATTAATCAAAGGTGTGTCAACGGTTGTGTGGAAAACACTACTTTTATGATACATATGTACATATAATATACCGCCAAATGGTATATTGTATATACAAGTATATAAATAAATAGATATATAAACGTTTAAAGTTAAGTAAACAAAAACGTGAGAAAGACTAATGACGATAAAAACAAAAGCTTAAAATTAATGTAACAGCTAAGGAAAATGCACAGAAGAAAGAGAAAAGTAAAGTAGTGACGGACAAAAACTAAGTGAAGACAAGTAAGAAAGTGCTAAGTTCGGGTGTGACTGAACATTTATAATCTTGCAACTTGCAAGAATCAAATACAACAACTTCTGGTGTTGACAATATTAAAAAATGTAGCAAAAGGGTTGAACTTCATTGTTCATCGTAATCGTGAATGGAGTACAATAAAATGGTATCACACTAACTTATTTTGAAGGTCATGGACTCCCCTAGTTTTACTAATATATTTTAATTGCCTCAACGAAAATTATACCAAAATCGTGTTTAAATGAGATCTATTTGATATAAACTCATCCCAAGAGGCTAAATTTAATATATTGAGTTAATATAAAAAACGTCAAACAAAGCTTCGGAAATCATTATATTAGGGATAGAAAGTTTAGACCAAGACTAATTTCATTTATATTGAATGCCTAACCATTAATAATATTTTATTGGTAAATGTAAACATATAATATATATGGAGTCAAGTCAGCCGGACCTTTCAAAATCCTGAATAACAGTTAAATGGGCGCTAGGGGCAGGTTTTCAATCGATGTTTTCCATTTCATTCGCAAAGATACACTGGTCTACAAAAAATACGTTTACTTAATTTCATTAATATAACTACCACATTGGCCGATATATGTGGTATCAGATCAACTGGAAGTTCGAAAATCTTTATATTGGGTACATGGGGGCTAAGGGAAGTATTGACCTGATTCAACCTATTTTTAACATAAGGGTATTTTATTATCGAAAAACCTTTTCCCCCAATTTCAATGACATATATCAAAGATTGACCGATATTTTTGAATAAAAGTCATCACACGCACTGGGGCCCAAAAATTCGACATGTGGGGGCTTGAGCAGTTACGGTCCGATTTTGACAATTTTAAGACCTGAGATGTCATATCTCAAAGTTACTATTTATGCAAAGTTTTATCCGAATATATTCATTGGTACTTGATTTGAGTATTGGATATTGAAGGAATCATATGGAATTTAAAATTGTGCTATATGGAAAATAGGCATGACTTCAGTCCGATTCCGTCCACTTTCAAAATATAATTTAAGATCGTCAGAGTTATGTTATGTTTCAAATTTGGTTGAAATACGTGGAGTAGGACATATGTGATTTCACCTAAATATGGGCGGTGCCACGTCCATCGTATCATTTTGACCCCGGCCCTTATATGATCTTCATAATTTAACCTGGGCATTAAAATTAATGTTATTGGTGCATTTAGTTATTGATTTATTGCGCTTTTAGTAGTTTTTAACAAAACTATTAAATGGGAAGAAGACGGGGTTATAAGTCGATTTTATTTTCACACTGCCGGTACGGGTCTTTACAGGAATTTTACTAAGAGAATTTGGTTATTGTAGCTTTAGTCGTTTAGGAAATATGTACATTCAGCCTATTAGAAGGGGGACCACGCCCACAGGTTCATTTATATATGTATCGATTATTTTTAGGTTAAACAAACAACCGTTGGGTGAAAAAAACTATTATACTCTGTAGCAACATGTTGCCAGAGTACAAAAATTGAAAAATAAGACAAATTGATGTTACCACATTTGCCAAAAGCAGCATATATCTTTTTTTGGCTCAAAGAAAGTTGCGGAAAATTAAAATAATATTTATGCACGTAGCTTATGCTAAATATTATATATAGTTGGTATATACGCATGCTTGTGTGCTGACATTTTGGCGCAATTGCTAACTTATTATTTTTTCTCGACTCGCGCGTCATTAATAAGCTTAAAATTATACAAGTATTAACATATTGGCTGTGAATATGTCGTGAGCCCTTTGCTTTGGTAATTTGCCAGCAGAAATGGTAGAATAAAACACCCAGCAGAAAATGATTTACTCAAACGAAAAGCGGATACTAATAAAATAGTAGTTCAGGTTGTAGTGACTCTCATGTCACGGGTCGGCGCTGCAAATTAAAGCGGTGAAACGTTAAAAATTAAACCAAAAAAGAAATGGTTAGAAAGAAGATAGTTGTGTCATTTGGAATATTGTCAAACCCTTCGGCTTTAATTTTAGCAATAAAAGTTATTCCTTTAAATCCTTCTGCTCTTCTGAAGAGGTTAGTTGGACGTTCTTTTTGAAGGATAATATCACTACAAATAGGCAGATAAGTTTGACGAAAAATGTACCCGTTGTTTTGTACTTAATATATGTATTAGAAAATGTGTTATTCAAATACATAAAGTTTTCAATATTTTTTTTGAAGATATGTGAATTATAAGACATGAAAATCACTGAAAAATTATTGAAAATCATCACTTTATATAATAAATTATTATGCTATTCCCTGCAGAGAATCTTCCACTAGTCCTTATTTACAAGGGTGGTTCGAGAATTATTTAGCCCAATGAACTCAAATTTCTGCACGGCGAACTTTTGATAGTTTAGAAGCAAAACGAAGTTATACGGAACAAAATCTGATGTATACGGTGTAGTCGATTTAAATCACAACATTAGTAGCGATATAGTTCGAATATGGTGGTCATCATATTTTCGGTCGAAAAAACTGACTCCCCTTCCTTTAAAATAGGTTCGGCGGGTGAAGTCCACTTGTTTCGATCGTTCCGTGCTCTCTGCTGTGTACCTCGTTACGGCTTCGGCCACAAAACGAAGTAGAAACGAATTAGGCTTAAATAGCGTTTCACACTTCTGTTAAATGGTCGCTTGGTTAAGCTTGTTTTCCGAAAGGCGTAAACATGGAATTCATCGCACCGATAGATGTCTCATCCAACATTCCACGATATGGCCCTCATGGTTTCTGGAGATTCCTACTGTCACAGTTAACACGCGTACTTAATCGGTGGCCTGTCAATACGAGATTTTTGTAATGTGATCCTCAATGGCAGCCGTTTTGGGGATAGCTAGATACAGCTCATTAAAAAACGTCGTACTACTACTAACTCGTTAAAACAACTTATGATGGTCGCCATCGAAAGAGTGGAGTCACCGGGTACAATATTCAAACGATTTTTGATTCCAAGGTGCGATTCGCTTTCCAATCGATATTGCTCTTTTCTCAGTTTCCTAAAATTTGCGGATATGCCCGCTTCCACATGAGGTCAAAAGTATAATGCTGATGGATTCGGTGCGACTGACATTTAGACAGTAATCGTCTATGAGAATGTACTACGCTATAGTATTTTCTATTCGCTATAGTATGACGCTATCGGGGGGTGAGGCTCAGTCATTATCAGACCACTCTCCTAGACATACACACATACATATATTATTGTGTGTAATAACAGTACATGTACACGTGTGACTGTATACGACATGTTTGAGAATTTGTGCTAAATTTAATTTAATACTCATTTTAAATATTGTCGGCAGCGACCAATTGTACCCTTTTCTATCGCCAACCCTCAGACATTTCACTCAACTACAGAGAGGATCGCAGTGCATTCGCACAATCATAGATTTCTACATATGTATGTAGATTATGTTCTCCATCTGCAAAAATTACGTCCACAACTTAACCTCAACGGCTTAGCGTTATACCCACCGCTTCGACCACAAAATCGAGCAGTTCCGTCAGTCAGCCAGGCATATTTTCGTTCGATTCGCTCGCAGTTACACTTCAGCGCGATTTGGTGACAGTCGTTATCGTCGTCGTCGTCGTAGTTCGTTAAACGCATTCATTTGCTTACAGCTCAGGCAATTTGCTAAGCACTTTCTTGCTCCGATCCGTTGTTACAAAACACGCAGCGTTAATTTTACCACACGCAGCCCTAAAGCGACGCCAATTTTCGCATTTGATTGGCGCGTAATTTCTCACCGTTTGTTTGTTTTGATAACGTGTGCGTAAAAATAAATTTCTAACACACGTAAGCACGTCATATTGTAAGCAAGTGGAAAATTAACTTTCTTAAATTGCGTGTGGTTCGATCGCCGGTTGTGAGTTTTTTTATTCTTCAAACAGTGCAGCAAAGCGCCTACTTTAAAGCGAAAAGTCTTGTGGCGCGCATCATTTCGACGCTGGCAACCTCAGTGTATGTCCTGTTAACTGGAACTTAAGATTTTCCAAAGCGAATCTTGTGCATCATTGTGGTTAAGTAAGGCTTTTCTTCGACTGAATTCAAAGGTTAGTTTTAGCGCGGCAGAAGAATTATAATTCTTCTGTTTGCAATTCAAGCAGTTTTGAAAACATTGCGGTCCTTAGACATGAAAATTTTATTTAAGGAAGGATTCGCTCAGTCTATAGTCCTCAAAACTAGCTTAACGTTGACTATTCATTCTAAAGGAGAAGTAAAGAAAAAAGGCTACAGACTTTGCTAAATATGAATTTGGATGTATAAAAAATTTGTATATTGACACTTTAATACAAAATTGCGGCTACTTTGCAAATCTTCGGAATAAACTGTTTCAAGAGGTCCTTGACGGTTGACGGAGATTTTAGAAACACGTACCATCTGCAAATAGAATTGAAACTGCATAAGACTTACTAGTAATGTACATATGTTTTTAGCTAAACAAAAATTTTTCGCAAAATGATGTACTTTTAAAGTTTAAATATTTTCCCAAAAACACTAGCAGTAAATTCTTTGTAACATATAATATAATAATAATATTACTATGAAGTAACAATTAAATCTTCAGTCTCCAGTACTGTCGTCGACCGATGAAAAATGCAGTTTCCAGAAAACATGACAAAATTTTTTCAATATTCAGCCATATGATAATGATTTTGCGGTCATGTTTACACTTCAGAGAAAAACATTAAAATTTTTTGTGAATCCTAAACTGGTTTGATCGACTACAACCATTTCCATAATCAAGTTTATATAATTTCGAGGAAATAAAACGAATTGAGATGTCAAAATGTTCAGATAAAATCTCAAAATGGAAACAATTGTCCTAACTCTTATTTACTTCGAAAACTTTAACGACATCGAAAGCCGTAACGTCTTTATTGTCTGGTATGCCATTTCAGTTTAAAATATTTATCGTGTCAACACTTTAACGGTAATTGCATGTCGTCGATATTAACAACAATGCATGTTCCGAAGAAAATTATAGATCCATGTGTTTAACTCTCCGTCAACTGTGCACAATAGTGATCTAACCGACAACTCTATTTATTACCTTTTTTGTGTTGGGATTCTGGAGCAAAAAAAAAGTTTTTTAAGTGCAACTTGTACTTCTTGAAGTTCGCATGCCATACTAAAAATATATGTTATGAAAATTCAAAAAAAATTTTATAGAATGGCCTTAATTAATATTTAAAAGCCTAAAGACCACATAGGTGCCAGTAGGTCTGTTCCAATTTTTTTTTCGTGTATGAGTATGACCAAAGCAAAATTTAGCTGCTTCAATCAATTTTATTTTGAAAAAATTCAATGCTTGATACTTAAATTAAACCCAATAACAATTTTGTTATATTTGTATTGTGTTGTTGCAGTAAAATCTCTACAACGGCTACAGCGGTGCAAAGAATCTTGAAGTTGTTGATGCAACTGCAGCACAAATTACTGCGGAAACTAGTCAGTCTGAGCTCAGTGGCGATACGTTAGTTTCACTAAAACCTCGTTCTGTTCAAAAGTATTAGAAGCGTATTCTAGCAACGAGAGTGTCAAGAGAACGCGAACATTATAAATAGAACGGTTTTATCAGTTGACTTGCTTTTGAAAGAAGCGACCCATAAAGAGAAAAGGCAAGAGCAAAACCACCGCGTAAGGTGCTATACCGCAATTATCTTCACTTTTATTCGTAGAGCTGCAAAAATTGCGAAACTGGGTCAATTGTGGTTAGTCGTTAAAGGTATGTGGCAGCATAATATATTTTTCTATGTTGATTAAAGTGGCGTAAATGTGTACAAGAAGGAAAGAGAACGTCTTCTAATTACTCTGCTAATATTAAATATTTGGAAATAAAACGAATATCTTATTTTATGAATATTTTGAGACAAATTGGTCAACCCGATACAACGTAATCTTAAAAAAGGGTATTGCAAAGTTATGTACCAGAACCAGTAATATTTATTTCCTTTGTTTGTTATTATGAAATAAAGTTTACAATATTATACTAATACATAACGAAAATAATTATCGTGAACTTTTAAGGACTATCGTATGAGAACGCTAATAATTTGCCCTAACTTTCATCTTGAAAGAAAAAGGAATAGAAAGCATGTGTTTTGGCAATACTTCTTGAATGGGGTGCATCATTTTACTGGTGCAATGTCGACGGAGTTTAGGAAGACATTACTTGGCCGTTGACTATGCTGGGAAAGATTTCCCATAATACTGATCTAGCCATAGTTTTACATCAATGGAGTTTTTTTACTTCTTTTCCATTGTTAACAAAAATAGAATCGCTTTAAGACCAATAACTTGAAAACGAAACTAACTTAGTTTCAAAATTGACATCAATTTTATTATCCGTGATACAATCGTTGTACATCAATTTCACCAATGTTTGTTAGATTGCTACTCCTTGTCAGACCTTTTATGTGACCAATATCGACAAACTCTCTTACTTTTTGAACCATTACTAATTCAAACCATTCAATGAAACTCATATTTTGTAAGCATCGGTGAAGTACTTTCTGAATTTCAACGGAATAAAAAAACAATTCTTCAAATTTGTTTGATCATTGTATTTGTAATATTAGTACACATATATTTTAACACAAACTTATGTTTATTTCATCATAAATTAGAAATGCGTCCTACTTATGGCGTTTTAAGGGATAATATTTCAGGTTGATGATGTTTTACAAATTTAAACGTAGCAGAAGATTTTAGTATGTGTCCCAAGTGTGAAATAGTTTTAACTTAATAATACTACAAAACCTTTTAATAATATAGTTATTCAGAACAGCTCGTTTCCTAAAGATGTGAAAACTTTTATGGAGGAAAAGGGCGATCCCTGTGAAAACATCTAAAATAATTTTTTATTGTCGCATGTATACATGTATACATATGTATACACATAATTTGTTCTATAATGTAGAACTATTCAAACACGAATGTAAACACCACTCCTGATTTTTTTTGTTTCTCAACATTCCCATTGAGGTCATTGCAAATCGATATAATCAAAGTTATACTTGTAAATTCAAAAGTAAACTTACCGTGTAAGTTAAAAAGCTTAGTCAGCTGACATTCCCACTCGTTTTCGAAAGAAGGCGGAAAATATGAATATTGCAATTAAAATTGCGCGTCATTTATTTTTTGTTTAAATTGTTAATTCAAAGAAATCAATATCAACTGCTCCCTTGTGTGTTCTATAAATAATATAGTATTTCTGCGGCTATATTATTATTTGAAAATTACTAGTTTATTGACATAAACAAGTCGCAGTTAAGTGTTGTTGCTTTGATTTTGGGTTGAGAGTGTGTAGTCGAAAAGAATAGAGTGTTAATTTTTGTATATTTAGCATTTTATTATTGAACGAATACCAATAGCTTTTGGATATTTTATAGGTGAAGTGATTTTCATACCTTTCGACAGGTGGTTTTGAAATTTTGAAATTTTAAAAGTAATTTTAAAATAATTAGTTATTTTACTTTCTGTTGATCATTAAAAATATTGGTCCCAAGAAATGTAATGAATATAATTAGTTACTGTCTGAATATGGAAGCTTTCTTTTGCATGAATATTAAGTCTGTATTATTTTGTAAACAGAGTGTCAAAAGAATTTTTGAGTATAACTAAAACTTAATGTTCTAGAATACCATATATAATATGTAAAAACATTGGCAATCGCTCAGAAGTCAAAACAAGTTCTCCATTGTTTTGTTTTAATACAAATCGATATTATCTATATTATTATAACGAACCTTACTTGTTTAGAAATCGCTTTAATTATTTTACCAACCTTTCTGAGCTCGGTTTTTTTTAGACATGTGGTTAGAAAGAATTACAAAAGCGCATATAATTGGCCAAGCATTTAGCTTTATTATAAAGATATGCTCTTATGTTTTAAAAATGATTTCGAGCAAGTGGCCGCCGCGTTTGGTTTGAATTAATTCCAGTCGAGTGACTCAATTTTCGACCTCTTTTTGTATCAACTGGGGTCTTATGTCAGCAACAACGCGCCGAATATTGTCTTCCACGGCGTCAAACGTCTCGGGCTTTTATGCGTAGACAAACGAATTGACATAACCCAACAAAAAATAGTCTAGCGATGTTAAATCGCGCTATCTTAAAGGCCACGTTGCAGGCGCGCGGCGTAAGATGATGCGCCCGCCAAAATGATGATGATGATTAAATTTCGTTGGCTGTAGGGCATGTAGGGACCAATGATTCCCTCTGCCCATAGAGCACACAAATCAGTAACTCTTTGAGAATGTAACGACGTCTCAACAATGGTTTGTGGATTATCATCATTCCAAATGCGACAATCTCTGCAAAACTTAATTGAAATGTTGCGCGCAATGGCGGATGAACTCATTGGGTCTTCTTCGATACTCTGCTCCACGGCAACAACAGCGTGCGCACTGTACGGCGCCTCTGAGGATGCGTATTAGAGTAAATGTGGTGTGAAACCGATCCATGGTTGTTCGAATTACCGACTCTGCTGATTATGTATGTCAACCGGATATTGGACTTACTTTCTTTGGTAATTTTTGGAAAAACTTAATATTTATAATTATTATTGTGGCACGTGTGGGTAATTTCTCATCCATTTACCTTTTAAATATATACTAACGAATTTATCTGAAATATTTCAACTGTCAGTAGGTGCAAGGCGCTTTAATAAATTACTTTGCCATATGACAAATAGAGAAGCATCATCGAATAATATTTTTGTTTTGTTTAGTTATTCAAACGCCATACGTTGGTAAAAGTCATGCGATTCACAAATGGGCACTAATTTGCGAAGACGTAGGCAAAATCAAAGAGCAAAGCAAAAGTCGATGTCAGAAGAGATTAATAACAATTAAAACTATTTTTAATTATTTGCAAGCATCTAAATGTAATTTCAAATCTGTAAATAAAATGCTATGCAATGTGATGGCTACTTAATTTTGTTGTACAGGGTGACACATAATGATTCAACGATTAGATTTATGATATTAATAAATTGTGTAACTTAAGTTATTAATAATCGATTGTAAATGGAAAATAATTGTTTTGGCTTGAACTCCCTTCCTTTTTTTTTATGTTCAAACTCTTAATGAATGAAATATAAAATCAACTATTGAGGTTGTGATATCTGAATAGAACATGCTAAGCTTATCAAAACTTCACAAGTGATTGTTTAGTAATTAATTTTCTTAAAATTGAAGATTTTTATACGAATGGGTATTAATATTTTAGTTAAAAATTGAACACATATTATTTACAAAGGAAATACCTGAATTGAACCATAGAACCTCATACAAAAAATATAAAAAATCGATCTAAACCACTTAAACTCGGTATAGGGGATAACATAGTGGAGCTGATTATGAAATTTTAAATAGAAATTTGACCCTCGATCGTATTATATTGATGCGAATATTACATAGAAATCGATTAAAGAATACGAAAGCTAATATTTGGGTAGAGAAAGGTTAGCTATTACTGAATGGCAGAGTTGTCAATCAATGTTTGATTTTAATGGGTTATTCTCCGTTATTCCGGTTGCTACAAATTTAAAAAACGTAGCATACTTTTTTTGACATTTGTAAATGATTCAACAACACAACGCTCCAAACAAGAAAAAAAAATTTGGAAATATTGATAAATGAAATGCTGCTATAGTACTAACTAAAAGGAACTTAACAAATATTATTTTTCCATGAATTGCGATCTGAAAAAAGTATTTAATTTTGAACTTTCTTTCAGATTTTTCTTTAAAAAACAGTAAAACTTTTAAAGTTTTTATAAAACATAGTTATTACGATAAAAATATAATAAAATAGAGAATACTCATTTTTAAAGAAGTAGTATCGAGAAAAAATAAAGCTTTATCTTCAAAAATAGTAATTATTCTTGAAAGGTGAATCTTTGAAATTCAGAATAAAATGATAATTTTTCACATTTCTAAGATAGAATTGCAACCTAATTAGCACCAATAGTATAACTATAAAAGTTCTTTCAGCATTTTATCCATTATTTTCATCACTATGAGCAATCACTGAATTACTTTGTTTATTTTTTAAAACAACATTTTGGAAAAAAGAAAAGTGATTATATTTTGGACCTTACTGTTTAGGGCCTTTGGAAAAACTATCAAACGGTAAAAGTCTGTGCCTAACTGTAACGGAGAACTGGGATGAAAAATTGTAAATGAAGGTCAGCCAACTTCACGAGTGAGTATGGTTTTGTCATCGCTTAATCGCTATTGATGACGGAACTGACACGCACTCGTTGTGACTACTTTCGCATGAAGGATTCGCTAAAGCGTGGTCCAATATTTTCCTCTCAAAGTACAAATAGTCTTTAATCGCCATCTCCTTTAGTCGAAATGCACGGACCTAGTTATTCGCAATAAAAGTAGGTGGGATGTACATGTTAATTAGTGCTTAAAGACATCTTCATAGGTTTTAGTGTGAATAAAGCATAAGCAAGAGAGCTTGAGTTAATTGTATGCACAACTAGAGCATATGTGCCAGTTCTGCTTATTTAAATTGAATGTCTAAGTTTATAAAAAGATATAAAAATGAAATATAGTCCATATGATACCCCTGATATGTAGTAATATTCAGCGAAAATTAAACTTAATCTTTCACAGCGAACTATCCAGAATGTTATATCTATAGGTAATTTTATTGGCATTTAGGCAATGGCATTGGCAAAATTCTCGATCAAACACTGACACAACAATTTTTGGATTTTATCGAATTATCATATTAAATGATGCTAGCTACATATGTAAATTCCTTCAACAAACCACCCAGATGGTTTATATATGAGTACGGCAAAAAACGGTTTGAGATGTCAATCATATTTAGTGGATCAATAAATGTCATCCGAAATGAAAGCTTGTCACTCAAACTATTGGTGTATTTCATGTATTTCAAATAACTATAATTGTCAATATTCTAATAAGCAACAGATGGAGTGTGCCGGTAAAAATAACAAAAACATATGCATTAAATGTTGTAAGCTTTTGAAAAGAAATAAAATGTTAATTAACAGCAGCGTCAACATGCGCGAAATATGCTTACTTGAAAAATTCATATATTGGGTTATATACTATAATATAATATTATATTGCAACGTAGGCTCTTAATCCAACTGCACTAGTTAACTGTTTTTTTTTTTTCGAAAGCAAAGTGAGGCAAAAACAAAAAAAAACTTAACCTTCGGTTGCACCGAAGGTATAATACCCTCCACAAATACAAAGTTGTTCCCTAGAACATCTTGATTCGGATTATTCAGCTTGTATGACAGAAGTATGCTATAGTGATTCGATCTGAACAATTTCTTCGGAGATTCCCTTAATGCTTTAGATAATAATTCGTCCCATGAAGATATCTCGTTAAATGAAAAAGTTTTTCGTACAAGAACTTGATTCCGATTGTTCAGTTTGTATACCAGGTATATGCTATAGTGGTCCTATATCGGCCATTCCGACAAATAAGCAGCTTCTTGGTGAGAAAAGGTTATATGCTATTCGCGTATATACAAACGGACGGACAAACGGACATGGCTAAATCAACGCAACTCATTATGCTGATCATTTATTTATATGTATGTATATTTTTTATATGGTCTCCGACGTTTCCATCTGCGTCTTAAAAACTTTGTGGCAAACTTAATATACCCTGTTCAGGGTATAAATATGAAAATAAGTAGGTATGACAGTTAGCACTGGATTGCTATAAATTCAACGTTCTAAGCTTATACTTTCTGCATAAAAGCTCTGCACGTGCTCACATCGATTGCTCTGTTGAGTTTATCCTGCTAAGAGAGCGCCGTCTATAAAAGCCAGACCGTGAGGATAGTTACTCTCATTCGGTTTTGCCATTTTGACTTGGACGGAGTTGGTGCGTTTTGCGAACCAAAATTTTTGTGAAAATAATTACTGTGAACATTTTTTTAATTACACAGTCGGAAAAACACTGAACCGAGGAAAAAACTGTCGGGAAATTTAAAGCAAAAAAACCTTAATTTAGAATTATAAAGAAAAAACTGCTTTAAGTGGTTCAAATCAGACAATAAATAGCAAAGTGTCGAAGGACTAGACGGTGCAACGCCCTTTTGTGTACCCACAAATCAACTGAGAAGTGCAAATATACTGATTTGGCCAACACTTGACACAGATTAATTGTGCAGGAGAACTGAAAATCGATTTTTTCGTCGGAAAATTTGGGTCCAGTGATATCAAGTGAATGCTAAGTAATTTCTTTTACTAACTCTAAAAGAAATTTACAAAAAACGCGAATTTAATATTGTGACGAGTGCATTTCTTGTTGCAGCTTCTCATAACTGCCCAAGTACTGTGTCAATAATTTTTTGAAAGATTTTTTTCTACCAAGAATAGACACTTAAGTTTGTTTCACTTTAAACTTTCACTTCGAGTGTTTGTTAAAGCTTTCTAAATAATTTTCTACAAAGTTTTCAAACAAACCACAACAACGGAGCTAATACTAAAATTTCAACTGCTACTAGACGTACCGGACGAGTCCGCCTATACCACTGGGCGGCATTCACGTCCCAAAAAAACTATTCCGCATCGGTAGCCGTACAGTTTTGAAATACGCCATACACGCGTTATGTCAATTAACTGTTAAGTTAGCAACATCAATTGAATATAGCTCCGGAATCAATGGCGTACTTAATCAATATACTTAAATTTAATGTGAAATATTTAAAAAGTAATTAATAATCGTCGTATATACCTATATATAATCCCATAATAGTAATTGTAATAATAATAGACTGTTCACTGACGCACAAAGTAAAAGCAGTTTCAAAACAAAAAAAAAATCCTTTCCCAAAAAATAAGAAAAAAAAATTATAATAATTTAACACGCAATAAAACGAAAATAGAAACCTGTTCCCCCACTATGGATCAATAAACAATTACCTTAATAGCCAACAACAAGCCAAAGCCAAACAAGAAAACAAAGAAAAATTGTAATTAGAAAAAAGCAAGCACAAAAACCACCAGCCGGAAAAACCGACATTATCGATTGCTCCAGCGTAAATAGTGCATACACACTTGTGTATCTACATTACCAATAGTAATTCAGTCACTGCGTACCAGTGTCGCTGTGCAAGATTTAGATTTTTCTTTTCGGAAACCTCTTTACCCATTTCTCTCTCCTTCATTACCACTGTACACATTTACGCTCGACGAATAGTGCATCTATCGAAAGTGGCCGATTGGGGCAAAGCGTCCAATTATACAATGGAAAAATCTGAACAATTTTCAGATTATCTCTTTGCGAAAATGGGCCCGCCCAGTAGTACAACTGTTAATGGCACCGAACTGCCACCGAAGACCACGGAACGTAGCGGTGCGCCACGTGAACTCACCGGCTACCGGAAATGGTTGCGGGAGAATCTAATGTTGCTGGTGACGCTGTCGGGTGTATTGTTGGGAGTCATTTTCGGTGAGTTGAAAAATAGTCATAACTGCTTAATATATCATTATTTTACTATACTTTTAAACTTTGATAGGTTTAGCGATTTTTCAGGAAAATTTAAACCATTTAAAAAAAAAACTTTCAAATACAAAAATATGAATAACATAGAAATATGCACGAAAGTATTGCAATTGCCTTAAATTTGTTATATTGTAAAATCTAAACTAAGTAATAATAAGCTAAGGGATATTTCGCATTAAGTTTTTAATTCATTTTAGCCCACTACTGTAAAATTTAATTTCTTTTATCAATTTGCATGAATTCAATTTTTTAAACTGCTGCACATTAAAAAAATTGTATACTTTTTTTAGTTAATAATAATTCATAATTTCATTCAAACTTATATTCAATTACAGTTAGAATTTATTTTGATTTTCATTTTTATTGAAATAAGCATTTTAATTAGGTGGCAACCATACTCAAAATATATTCTTAACATAATACTCTTTGTATCTTTTTTTGATGATTTTAAAATCAGCTAACAGGTTACCAAGGAGTTTATATCACGAAAGGTGGAAAAAAATTGCAACACGCTACGTCATCAATGAAACGAAATGTCAAATTTTCTTGTTAGTTGTTAACAAAGCTTAAATTTTTGTTCATGACGTTAGGAACTAAGGTATTGTTCTGTCAAACGTACACCAAAAACGAGCGGGTCGAAATTCTCTCTTTTTTAATCTTTCGTGTGCCTGCACCAATTACCAGAAGCTCTTTTTGAGTGAATAATTTCTGGGCATTTTTGTCGTTTTATCTCCTCTTATAGTCATCATGACCTGTGATTATTTCTTTTATATTGATAAAATCATTTGTAAAATGGCGTCGGATTGTCGAGAAAATCATGAAATATTTGAGCCAACATAAGCAATAAAATTAGTACCAGACACTTAATATAAATTGCTGATTAAAATTCTTTTGTAGAAATATAAACAAAGTGTGGCCGTAAATACTTAGTTTTTATACCTGTCCCCATTGACTATGTACATATGAGCACAAATCAAAATTGAGGAAATGGTCTCATAGTTCATCAAACTTTTCTTCATGGAACGCCTTGGAATAGTTGATGTTTAGAAAAACACTCATAACCTAAGAAATACGAATACGATATCCGCTAAGTGCCCTCTTTTATTTTTGGAACTAGTTCGCTCTTTATATGTCCACAGTGTTTTCCTAGTTTCAGAAAGTCATGGCATAGTAATTTAATGAAAAAAAAATACTAATTTTATATTTGACTGAATTCATAATACGATACATCATAAGATCATCACATTAATCGAAGGGCAAATAAATAATATATTGCTATTTAAATTCTCTGAAAAGTAGTTTTGGATATGATTCATTCGTTTAATATAATAGCTTGTAATTTGACAAAATAAACCGCAAAATTTAATGTCAAGTAAATCAGTAATTTTCATGTTATATCGCTCTAAGACATTATATATAATACAATATGTAAGTAAGTTCACCTAACGGTTGTTTGTATCATCTAGAACTAATAGGGTTAGATACAGGGTTATATATATATATATAAATGATCGGGATGAAGAAATGCGGTTGACTGTCTGTCCGTCCGTCTGTGCAACTGATAACTTCAGTACAAACTGAAATATCTTTATGAAACTTAGTACACATGTTTCTTGGTACCGTAAGGTGGTTGGTATTGCAGATAGGCGTAATCGGAAAAATTGCTATAACTCTGCTCCAAAATAAGATACAAGACTGTTATTTGGTATACAGGATCGAATTAGGAACGGGCCTCTGCAGTTAAAATTTTGTTTCAAAAGTGGGCGTATTGCCGCCCCCTAATAGGTTTTATGAGCTAATCTCCTAAAATGTTAAAGCTATAATAACCAAAATCACTGAGAACAAACCTTTTTAGCACCTCTATCAACAGTGTGAAAATGGGTGAAATCGGGTGACAAGCCCGCCCAATTCCCATACTGTTAAAAACTACTAAAAGCGCGATAAGTCAAGCACTAAACACGCCATCTCTAGGATGGTATGAAATGACTTTATAGAAAGTGCGTTCAAAATTAGACAGTGGGCGTGACACCGCCCACTTTTAGGTGAAAACACATAATCGGTACTTAACATTCTTCTTATATTTCTATATTATAGTGCGAAAATGGGCGAAACCGGATTACAACCACGCCTATTTCCCATATAACACCATTATAAATTCCATCTGATTCTTTTACTTTCCACTATGCAAATCAAGCAACAATGATTGTATTGGGGTACAAATTTGCGTGAATAATGCATTTAAAGTGTGCCACCTTGTAACCAAAAATTGTCTAAATGAAAACCGGTTCAAGCCCCAAGATACTGAATATGTGGACCCTAAAAATTTTACCAGCTCCCATGTAATTAATATCAGGAATTTCGAACATTCGTCTGACTTTACTCCATATCATTGGTGATGGTATGTGAGGTACCTTAATGAAACAGTGGGAGCATTTTATTAGTCTGTAGCATGTTAGTAGTATGTGGAAAATTGAAAAAATCGGGTTAATACTACCCTCAACCTCCATATACTACTTATAATGATTTTCGTTATTCTAACAAGTTTTATGCCGAATATGTCGGACAGTGAGTATTAATATTTTTTTTCTCAAACGAGTATACCATTTGACTTTGCGAGAGTATAAAATGTTCGGTTACATCCGAACCTAGCCCTTCCTTACTTGTTATTCATTTACATTTATCCTAAACTGTTCCCACAAGATGGTGAAGTAAAATTGTTTAACCGTAGAAGTAGAAAGTCAACGATTTGCACGTCATTAAATTTACTAAAAAAAACGGTAATTATCTAAAATGTCTTATTAATTTTGGGTTGCTATCTTAAAACCGAAATGATAGTAAAAATTTCCTACGTGTTAGGAAATTATGTGTTGTAGCCAAGGGGTGTAGAAGTCAAATCACCACCATATACAATACTAAAATGACAAATATAGTTGTACGTGATGGAAGAATTTTGAACTTCGTAATCAGGACACTTCAAATACTCCCACACACAGGCGCACATTTTTCCCTCAGATTTGTAATTATCTGGCTAAACTCAATAAAAGAAGATCATAATGAGTTGGGCTGTGAATAACTTTATCTGTGAGATATATTAAAATAACAGAAATTTAAAAAAGGAAACAAGAACAAGTAGGGAAGGTAAAGTAATATACGGAATTTTCGCATATATTTTACAATAATTAAAAGCAGGAAGTATTGCATCTATTACTTACAATCACAAGCAAGAACATACACTACTATTAGAAAGATATTATTTCGGAATTTCATTAAGATTTCTTACATATGACCGATAGATGCGCAATAAAATCAACCGGAAGTTAGAAAATATTTATATTAGGTACATGGGGGCTAAGGGAAGTATTGACCCGACTTTACTAATTTTTGGCATAAAGGAATGCTGTTATCACAAAAATATTCTCCCTGAATTTCAATACTAAAACTCACAGACTGATCGATATGTTTGGCGAAAATCAGTCATATGCACTGGTGTCTACATATTTGCTGTCTGCGTCCTTGAGAAGTTATTGTCCGATTCCGACAATTTAAATACCTTGATGATACTATTTGTGCAAAGTTTTACTGTAATGTCATTGATGTTTGATTTGTATACTGTAAAATAAAAGAATCCTTTGGAATTTACAAATTTGTTATATATGTAGTAGGCGTGGTTGCAAACCGATCCCACATCACACACCAAATTTGATTGAAATCGGGCAAGTAGTTCCTGAGGTATAGGATTTCACATAAAAGTGGGCGGGTCCCGCCCATTGTCCAATTTTTACACCGGCTTCCATAAAACCCTTCCCTGCCATATTGGTTGTGAAATTCAAAGCTTGTGGTTCATTTATTGAGTGAGTTATCGCCCTTTTAGTAATTTTCAACATAATTACTATCATTATCTGATTTATCCCATTTTCACGGTGTAGAAAGAAATTAGCTTTAGTGGTTTTGGATTATATGTACATTTAGTGATTTATGGGGCAGGGCCGCATAAGTGCCTTTCACCACTGCGATCCCCTGTACCAATTTATAGTTTTGTATTTAAATTTAGTGCTTTGTTATGACACTTTATATATATTTGTTTAATGGCGTTTTGTGGGTGTGGCAGTGGTCCGATTGCGCCCATCTGCAATGTCAACCTTCTCGCTTGCACGGACAGACAATGTCAAATTAATCGCTAGAATATTTTTGAAGCTATGAGGCGCATCGATTTTGGATCGCTTTAAAATTTTGAAACCTGATGTAAAACGTTCATAAAACAGGCATAAAACTACTCATAACTTCGGCGGTTTGAAATTTAGACATAACATTTTTGACATATTATGCTTTGACGTAAAATAAAAATTTAAAATACTACTCCCCCTTAAGTAAGTATAATCTTGGACATACTAGATATATAATAGTTTGGTGAAAATGGATGAAATCAGTGTACGAAATAACTTAGCCGCATATACTAAAAATAATAATTTTGGTTATTTTAGCAGATTTGTTCGACATATGCGGCTCATATTGTAAGTTATTTTCAAACAAATTGGGTGGAAATATAGTCACGAACATGTTTTAGTTGAATGTCAAATTTAAATGTAATCAACTGAAAAATGTATTTAAATATATACCATGCATATCATCACAACAGTTATTTACTTCATTTTAAACTTCGTAATTTAAAACACGTTCAGTAAACAACGATTTCTTCACATAATAATTCCTAATTAGTGCGTGCTTTCATGAGACACGTTCAAATAAATTCCTGTTGTATTTTACTCAGTTTAAATAAAAATAATCAAATGATAATAACCTATTTGTTTGAGTTGCTACTTACCGCAATTTTAAACAATTTGTGAATTTGAATCAAAATTGTTGCTCCAGAAATTCATATTTATTTTGTATATAACGTTAATAATTCGGAACAAAGTAGTTTTGCAAGCACTTTTATAATTTACGTA